GAGGAATGAGCCAGAAATTGAATTCTATTTAAGATCTGAGAGCATGTGTTTTAATTCTAACAGAAACATATGGAGGTTACTATGGATATAATTAAAGAAATACTGTAAGAGCTAAAACAGAGTGACCATCAATATGCCCTTTTATAATACTCTTCAATACTGTGTGTACAAGTTTATGTCAGCAACTTTAGAAGTCCGCTGGCTAAAGATGGTATAGAGGTGAATAAGTAACGTAAAAATATTTTTGAAACACAGAATTGAAGAATGTGCCTCTCAACATGACACAGACTCTTCCTTCCAAAACCAGAGAAGTTATTCATTTTTCAAAACTTTCAGTATTAAATTATGAGAGGCATTTGCAGGAAATGTTATATTCTGTGATTTAAAGTAATCACTCATATATTTCTGAGCTTCTTCTCTCTTTTAACACTAATCAGATAGATAAGGTATAAAAAATAGGGGGGGGCACACTGCTATGGTCTTTGAACTGAAATCTCCTAAAGAACAAAAATGCAAACAAGAAAAAACAATCATGCATTCATTTCAGTATGGATAATGGATAAAGGAATGCAGACACAATAGATAACTATCTACAATGCATGCAAATATTATACTACAAAACATGCATTCTTGCACACAGAAATGCTGCTTGTTAATATTTAACACAGAACATACAAGACTTTGAAAATCTGAGTTTCAACTTTTTGCTTACAAAATTTAATCACACCCTGTCTACATGCTCTATTTAGAAGTTTTATTGTTTCAGTTGTCTCGCTTAAAAGTAGATGTGTACAACTTGCAGCTGTACTGAACATTAAAAAGTTCATTACTTCTGTATGTGTCTTTTCTGTCTAGAATTCACACTTGAGGACTGCGTGTAGAGATTAGTCATTAAAGAAAAAAAATCATCTTTTGAATTTGCAGGTATTCACACTAAAGTAAAACTATATATCCATCAAGAATTGTTGGAACTAGTGCTACTGCAACTATGCATGAAGAATACATCTGAGAAATAAAAATATATCACTATAATTTTTCAGGTATAAATGCAGTAATTTAGGCAGAAGCCTCAGCAAATTGATCCACATGTGGTTGTCTCTGCAAGCTAAAATTACAAACAACAACAGTAGATAGTACAAAAATATAGACATACTACACAGATGTTCAGGAAGTTTTGGATCACAGAATTAATTAGTTGTTGAAGTACCAGAATGTTAAATCCCTGTCACTTCAAAAGGAGGCTACAATTAACCTCCTAGCCAACTGTCTTTTAAAAACCCACAGAATTATAATGGCACTTTTAAGGAAACTACTGTAAGAATTGGAAACATGTGGCCCATAGACTACATGTACCTGCTGAGTCAATCATATGCCCTACACCACCTGTCAATTCTACACTGCCAAAATTAAGAGCCACTACAAACCCTCTTTCCCTTCCTATATTTAACATACCCATTTACAAGGGAAGGAAACATTTCAATCCATTTCTATGGTTCAGAAGAGAACCACTCTGGGGTGCAATTGGGGACATTCATACCCTTTTGCACCAAAGAAAATTCTTGTATTTGTCAGCAAACATCAGCAATAACAACAAAAGCACCAGGAACATTGCCAGGCACAACTAAATATTGGTGGTATAGCCACCAGTGGGATCCAGTCTAAACTCTAGTGGCTTGAAGGTATGGGAATTTGCCAACCTTGCCTGTAAAGGAAGGGTAGAACTACAAATTAAATATGACATGCATATGTTGCTGAGATAGCATTCCTGTTTCTAGGAACATGACATTCGGAATTTTCGACTACAATCCCATAACTCTCCATTCTGGGAGTTCCTCTTGACAGACATCTAAATGTGTCTCACCCAGGAGAAAGACTTGAGCTTCAAGGCTTTATGATCAAGCTACATCTAGGTCTGTCCAAGCTTTCTGTTCAGAAATACATTGCCCGGTACTACCTGGGATTCAATGGGAAATTGTGAAATATGTACAGTTGTCCAAAAATTCCAAATGCCGCATCTCTTCATGTTTGTAATCCTTCCGTTCTCTGATAAACAGCTGAAAACAATCACAGACATTATGGTAGGACACCCAGCTATTTCAGACACTGTAATCTCAAATGCTTTACAGAGTGACAAGTAGGAAAACAAGTACATGAACTACATCAAAGAAAGGACTTGTCAAGACTCCACTTGTAAGCTTCACATCACACCTATTAAGCTAGAGCCAAACCTCCAAATTCCCTGCAGTAAGGTGCCATGTCAGTTTGTTGCAACAAAAACAAAATCTTGTGAAACCTCTAAGACTAACAGGTTTATTAGAATATGGGCTACTGTTGACTGGATGAAGTTTGTTTGCACGTTCAACACTACACCACCCTAAAAAATGTTCACTAGGAAACACTGGTTGTTCTGTAAGTGATACCATGTGAAGCTGATGATGTCATCAGCCATGGCAATTTTTCAGATTTTTAATATTCTATTACTGGAATCAGAATTCCTGAAGTTCCCACAAAATCCCCTTCATCAGGGGAAGATTTTGTGGGGCACAGGATGGGGGCCGTTTTTAACTTCCGAAAGTCATTGTCACCAATAAAGTCATTCTGATATGGAAAACTTTGGAAATTAAAGACTTTCACCTATTCCATGGCACCCAACAGCTTCCCTAGGATGAGGGAGCTCCTATGGCAGCCGTGGGACCTTCAGCAAGAAATCAGTATTATTTTTATTACTGATGACATCATCAGCCTTACACACTGGAACTGTGTGTACAGGATTTTAGCGAACTCACCCCTTTGTTGGATAAAAAACTGCAATTCCACAACAGTATTTCAATGTATCTAGAAACTTTAACTTGTTAAATCTGCACCTTGAAGCTTTAAATTTTCCTTCTTTCACATTGAGGAGAACAGACAGATGGAAACATCACATGATCCTAAAGCTTTCCATGCCCTGTGTATCACTCTCCCAAACTCCTCCATCTCTCTGCTTCTTTTCCCCTCACACCCTCTTACAAAACTCAGGTTTCCAACAGAATAACAGCAAATTCATCAGTGGGTCAAATCCAACATGAGCACTATTGAGACTAATATTTAAAGCAATGGGACAAGTTATTTGTGACAAATAAGTCCCATTCATTAGCAATTAATCTACTCCAGCAATGGCTTTACACCATCAAGTACTGTGTCAAAACAATCAAAATCCTTTCCTAGGAGATACCAAGAAAGCCACTCAAGTTTACATTTTAAAACAAAGCCCATACAACATATATTGTTGAATCCTTTAATTTGAACTTGCACATTCTATAACCGTAGAAACGGAATCTCTAGATTAACTAGAGGACAGGTGTTGTTATGCTCCTTTGAACAGATAAAAGTCACAGCTAGGTGTGCCCTTTTGATCACAGTTACTAAATTCCTCCTGAAAGCATGACCTGAAGTTAACACCCTCAAAAAACCTGAAGTATATATCATACGTCAAATAAATACAGTAACAGAATTATGAAAATGAATGGAATAGCAGCATATGAAGAATCCACACTAGGCTACTGAACAAATGCATAAAATCTAAACTGTCCTTCAGGAAATATGACTAAAGAACATCGGAAAGCACCATTTAAATGAGAAATGGACATGCCTAATACTTGAGATGAAGAGTTTTTCATTAAAGTTTGTTCTATTAATTATAAAGAAGTGTTGTGATACCACAACTTGTAGAAAATTTCTGTCCTTATTTCACCACACCCTTCTTTTGCAATATTAATTTTAATCAACCCTTCCTTCATAATGAAAGTTACTTCTGTCAACCTGTAAAAATTACTTAATTATTTCATTATACTTTACAAGATGATGCTATCTGCATCAAGAGCCCTCCAAATTTCTAGATTTCAAGCAGACAAGGATTGAAGAACATTATGCAAGGATGCTAGGAATAATCTCTTGAAAAGGAGAGAAGGCTCACAATGAAACCACACTAAACCAAATGCCAGTAATTGTTTGTGGTGATAGGAAAACTAGAAATTATTATTTTGATATTTTGAACTTCAAGGCCAATCCCAGTAAAACTGAATTGAGAAATATTTATTTTAAATTTGTAGAAGCATCAAATAAATAATTAGAATTAGATCTTTGATAGCATTCAAATAGCATACTTTTCATTTGGGAAGTCCATTTTTATTTATTGTTCTGCACTTCCTCTATGTAAAATTGCAACACAAAGGGAATATTATGGGAGGAATGATTTTCCACTCAAGGCATAAATGCAAGTAGTCTCAGGAATAAAACTGACCAAGAATACATACAGTACATCTTCCTATCTAGCACAAATGTGTGTACCTAATTTGTACAGCTAATTGCCAACTAGTTAATTTGAAAAATTAGTTACCACAGAATGAGTGTGGTAACACACGGAAAGAGATATGGATTCTGACTTTTAAAAGAGTATTTTCCTGCTACATCAGACATTACATACGAGTACATTAATATTATAAATTTCACATTTATTTTTGTTACTTTCATCAATATCCTGGCCACTTTTATGTCCAAATCAGGTCACAATCAGGAAATTATGATCTTTGCTTCCTCTGCCCAAGAGTTACCATTTGCAATAAATATGTCCAAAATTTCAGCAGTTACAAAGCAAGTTGCCTGGCGTATTTCATTACTGTGAGAAGTTTAAAAGCAATTGGCCTTAAATGTTGCAGTTTGAACACCATAGCACTAGATCCAAAATTCTTTGCCTGAAACAAATCTTGTGTGAATGTACTATATATTTACCTTAGGTTAAAATCCTAGCTATGCAACGTCGTTATGCGAAATGTTGGCTGAAGTAGGCATTTGCAATTGAATGCATCACAAAAATTTATCAGCACTGTTAAATATTTACTGATAGGGAGGACCACAGTCTTTTAATTGTCTAGTCATAGAAAATCTCAAGATTTGCACACACAGGGCTAGAAAGAAAAGTTATGTTTATGAGTCTACATGTTTAACACACATAAACTTACTCCTTCCCTCTGTTGTTCTTTTGGTGTCAGCAACACAGTCAATAAAATACTTCCAAGATCTTCGTCAGGATAGTGTGGATCCTTCAGACTCAATGTAACATCAATTGGCCTAGGAAATCAAACCACACCCAAAATTCTGGTTGAATAAACATGAATACAGAAATTTCTAAAGTGTTTAATCTGTAGATCAGTGGTTCCCACCTTTGTTCTTGGATTACAACTCCCAGAAATTCTGGTTAGCTCAGCTGGTGAAGGCTTCTGGGAGTTCTAGTCCAAGAATAGCTAGGGACCTAAGGTTCAGAACCACTGTTCTATGTGTTTTGTGCCTTGCTATTCTAGAGCAGGCTACATAGACATCTTGGTTGAATTTTACAGTACAATACCTGTTTTGTTCTAGTGAACTGAGATCCAAAAATGTTGATCCTATGAAGTCATCTTGAAGACCAAAATCATAATCAAACACCTAAGATGGACAGAAGGAACAGCCTCTTTTAATTTTGGGAACTCCATTATTAACTAATCAGAAGATTAGCAAAAACACAGGTTATACAACAGAATACATGAGCTGTGTCTACATAAAGAGACTTTTCAACAGGCATCAAACTGAAAATCACTGATAAACACAAAACTGTATGTGATGATTTTCCATTTGGAATGTTTACATACACTCATTTTTTCAAAAACTCCTATTATTTTTATTCTAAGCACCATTTCCCAAATATTACATTAAATTTCACAGAACACAGCAAATATCTGTGCTCTAAAGAATTTTCAAAGGCGTAAAGAAGCAAACTCAACAAACACAGTTATAAAATCAATAAGCATTAACATTCTTTTTACCTTTGATTATAATTATGGTAGCAAAATTAATATTTCATCCAATGATGAACTGCAATACTGATTTATGCAGTACTATCCTTACCTATTTTTAACTAGAACTGCATGCCCCTTACCTTTATATACAGTTGCTCCCTTAAGTGTTCAATAAATATTGAAGTTTTTTCTTCCCAAACAGGATTGAGAGTCTTATGGATTGTTTTGCTTCTGAAGACTTCTTTTCCACCAATTTTAAACTTCACATATGGATCACTTGTCCCTGAAATGATCATCAAGATTATGTATGACATCTACATGCATTTAGAAACAGGATGAATGACCTCCAGAGCTGCCAAAGCAGAAGTACTGTAATTGTTTTTACATTACAAAGGATATGCTGAAGAAAAGCACCATATATCTTAAAGATTTAAATGTATTACAACACACCTATGCTAACCTTTTCTGTTCTTCAAAATATACATGTACCTTCATGAAAATATTTTTCTTTTCATTAATAGATTGTTTAAACTTGGCAGCTTTTATAACTTCAATACATGACAAATAGGCAATTGTTTCTAAAGGTAAAAAGGTAATTTGTTTCTTATTTATCTTTTACCTTACTTACTCTTTTTTGGATGTTAATGGAGACCATTAATTTTATGTTTGATATAAAAGATTTCTGAATTTTAGAAAACCTGTAAATATTTAAAGTTAGCATAAAACCCCCTTAAAACATTATACAATTTTCAAAGTTTACTGCCTGAATAATAATATATTTAATTATGTATTTCAGATGAGACAAGACTTTCCCTTAACATAGGAATAAATAAGACTGAGATTTAGCTTCATCTATGAATGAAGTTAAATAGATAAGAGGTCAAAAAGTTACAAACATCATTGATGTAGTTTGGTTTGCTTTTTTAACTTCAGTAACTCTCATTATAATTGCAAGCAAGCAGCATTACCCTACAATCGAATCTGCCTGGTATGATCTTAAGGATCAGATAGCTATGTCATGTTTGTGCTCCACAATGAATGGGGACCATACCCATAGCAAACTCTTCTGACAGATGATTATGAAGGATTCTAAAGCAAAACTCTGAGGTTGAAACGTCACTGTTAAAATCAGTCTTCATGTCCAGACAAAACGAGGCACTGAGATGTTCCAGAAAGGGCTGGAGGTACTCATGGGTGTGGGTCAGCAAATGTTAAGCACATCTAAAGCAGGCATGGAGGATACATGGCCCAAAGGACGTGCATATGAAGTACTCATGGTAGCACTAACATAATGGACATATTATGATAAATATGGGAAACAGAATATGAAGGATGTGGATGTGAATGAGAGGGATGTGTTTTATATGTGCAAGGTGCTATGTTTTTCATGTTATGGATGCTATGTTCTTGTGTGTTTTATCAGTACGTGTACTGGAACTGGTATTTAGTTTCATTGTACGGAAGTACAATAACAGTACAGTAAATTCAATAAAGTAAATTCATTTCAATTCAAATATTAAGACTGATGTGGAACTGTGATTGCTGGCAAAGGCATTTAAAAAAAAGCTTGGGTGGGATATTTTAATAAATGTTTGAGGAAACAAACAAAAGCAGTCAACCTGACCAAAGCTCTCCATTCCCTAAATGCACCCATCTATTTAAGCAGAGTAGACAACCATAGGCCAAGCCCTACTCTTCCAATATAGTGCACAGCTACGCATCAGTGCAGACTGGCCCAAGCATCTTGTTCTCTTTCCCAAAAAGTATCCCACCAGCTTTCTAGGGCAAGGGAAGAACCCACAGTAAATACAGCCCTTCAAAGCATTTGATGAAGGAGCACAAACCGATATACCAATGCTTATGTCATCCGTAGGATGTAGCAATGGTACAGTAGGACTAAACAGCAGCACCAATATGATAAATATTTGACAGGCCCTATGAAAATGCAATATTGGATAGCATACATGTTTCAGAATTGAACATTGCCGGTGTGAAGTGCTAAAAAATCTAGATGTAAGATGTAGAGTAACAGTCTAAATACCACAGGCTGTTCAGCCACCCTATTTAATTTGAGTAAAGATTTAATACATTTTTTAAAAAATGTTTTAATATTACAGTGCAATGATCTTTTGACTGAGCAATAAACAGATTGATTGGTTAATACAACCCAAGTTATATATTGTAAACATTGTGACTTTTTAAAACTAAATGTACTATTCTCACAAAATTAAATAACCAACTACAACAGAATATTAATATATTCACTACGTTTTTCCATTGTTATACAACAGCGCATAAAATATTTAAGCTTATTCTGTGGAGGTACAAGAGATTTTTGTGATATTACTTTGGACCACAAGATGGCAATATATGCTGTCAATTCAGTTTATAATTAAATTAATATAAAGAGCCAAAGATGATGTGTATTAATACAATTTGGAAGGTAAAATAATGTTACTATAGGGACAAATTATACTGCTTTGTTCAAATTGTATATCTATTCGGCAATAAAATGTAGTGATTGAATATATGACCTTTACTACTTACCATGAAAAGTATATGTTGTGCATCTATTTATATGCTCAAGAGAGCATAGCTTAATTGTATATTATTGAACTGGATCAAAATGCTGTTTTTCCCCTCTCCAAACAGGGGAAAAAAGAGTATGGAGATTCAATTATTCTGTTTAAATTTATGCAAAACATTCGGTGCCTTCCTACTAACACTATATAATAGTTACAGCAACCACCATTCTAGGCACATGGTGGCACTATCCTCCTATTAGAATCAGCAGCTCAGTTACTAAACTCTTGCCCTTTATTGCATTATATTTAATACATTCTCCTTACTGATTATTATCAAAACTCATACTAAGAGAATGAATGCTTCTTTTTCTCTTCCATGTGAGGTCAACTCTTGCAATTGAAAAATGATACAGGAATTTTCTTCATGATATCATTTATGTTATTTTCATTTGAGTAAAATGGATCAGCAGTGGAGAGAAAATAGAATGGTGTCTTTACAGTCTTTATAAGACAACCATATGAAGGTATCCATGTGTGGAAAAGTCTTCTAAATTATAGTCTTCCTTTCCATACTCCCTTTCACCCCAAATTAAGCCTCACAGCACCATTAGTTAACAACTTACCTCAAAGTCAGTTTAGGCATTGGGAAAGAGCAACGGTGAAAGAGATTCTGCAAAATGTGTGTGTATTGGGTAACTTTAAAAAACAATATCTTTATACGAGAACATCAAATGCAACCTAATACATCAGTGTAGGGTAGAACCTGTGTCTGATGTGCTGATTTTCTATATGCTGTGCATTTGGGGGACCAATGTTAAAAGTAATATTTTCCCTGTCTGTTGTCTCAAGCTGTACAGTTCAAATAAGACTTCAAAGTTGTGGTTTTGTTATTGATTAATTCAGCTCTCAGCTTTTCCTTGTGAATTACTCTTTTCATGAGAGCTGATCAATGCTATCAAATTGTGATAGAGATCCAAAGTGCATTCCTTTGCATTTACATCTGGTTTTAAGGGGCTGGTGTTGTCATACAAATAAAGGTCAATTGTTAACACTGATGGGGCAGGATAACCCTGTGCCTCCAGAGTCCACAGCAGCCATTTGGGTTTTTGCTGAGATACTGCTGATTATATTCTTCCATGTAAAAGAATTCCAGTGCCTCACAGATTGCAGTTGTGATGGTACCAAAGCCTTATTATTACATGGTTCTGCAGGAACCTTTCCATCTTGCCACATTATGAAAGGTGGAAGTCACTACTTGTGTTTTATACCCAAGTCAAAATGTATAGTGGCAATTAGAAGGTGAAAATTGTGGTTTTATAAACTGACCCCCTGAGGGTAGGACTAACTTTTAGTGGGAAGTGTCTAAAAGCAAGACCACACAAAAAGTTGTCCTGGGCTGTTTTGTCTTAAGCCCTTCTGGCTGAACAAAATACACCATATGCACATGCCAAAAGATCAGATCTACTCACAGTTAGCACACATATCATGAAGTCAACAGAACAAACACTGAAAGGAACATTTGTGCAACATGGTACAAATACCCATCTAGTAACTCTGTGATTCTGGATTATGTTTCCCAGGGCAAATATTTAAACAGTACACCAACTATAACATGCAGGTCCCATCTCTTTAAGACAGAGATTTAAATGGCAACTCTCTCTCTCTCTCTTTTATGAGTAGGTATTGTTTCTCTACAGTTTTGGTTGTTTGGCAGAAATTGGTGAGTATGAAGTTGCTTTGTTTGCTTATATGGTGATTTTTTGAAAAAGTTCTTTCCTTAATTTGACCAGTAAACACAAACTTTCTTTTTCCCAAACTGAAAAGCAGGGAATTTCCCCAAAAACAGAGAAAGAGAGAAAAAAACTTCTATTTAAATGGAAAAGATATGGTTGAAACTATACCCCACAAAGTAAGGCAATTCAAACCACAGATCAAACATAGGCATATGAGGACACCTTAGCTTCTACCTCAAATAAACACTACAGAATAATTCCACTCTACTCTCTAGTCCAGTGGTCCCCAACCTTGAGCCTCCAGATGTTCTTGGACTACAACTCCCAGAAGCCTTCACCACTACTTCGTCTGGCCAGGATTTCTGGGAGTTGAAGTCCAAGAACATCTGGAGGCCCAAGGTTGGGGACCACTGCTCTAGACAGTGTATCAGTGGTACGTGTCAGGGAATTCTAAATGCACTAAACAGCTAAGTGTGAATAAATGCTAAGAGTCACACCAGATCTATATTGGCAGCACCTTCAAGACTGATGGAGGGAAGGATTAATGGAAGATAGCAAGACATGCTAACTATTTCCAGGAGAGGGCCATCTGGTTATCCAAAGATAGAGAGATTACACAAGGTCACTCCAAAACTTCAAAAGAGAAGCTGCAAATTGGCGATAACTGACACCTGCATTCTGGTAAGAAATCAAGCAGATACGTGCAGAACTGTCTGTCTTCTGGAACATTCTGCAAAAATCCAACGGGCTGATGGGTGTCATACAAAGGGGGGAAAGTATAGGAATTGTTAAAAGGAAGAATACAGTTGGACCCTGTGCCTCGAGTTTCAATCCATTATTATGTTGGTGAGATTTGTACTCCATATGAGCTCAAAAACTTGTGTACATCTAACAGCAGCCCCCCCCAAGTAAGTTGAAAAGGCTTGCTAGTTTTCTTAATTTATGTTATTTTTTAAAAACTTTACTTTGATTTATGCTTTTCCTGTTTTATATAATTGGCTTATTACAGGGGCAGCAACTGCCAG